TTCCTTTATCAGTCAAAGGTGAATTTAGTTAGCCGCGTTTTGTCTTGTCCCATCATCGGGCTCATCCCAGCTGTACTACAAATGTACTTTCTAATCTCCATGGCCCAACCAGTCACTTGTTCTAGTCCTCTTTGTCCCATATGGTCCAAAACAGAAGTCGAAATCGCAACTACCAATGAACTTTGTTCCTTGATGCCAAACCCGTCATCTCATGTTCTCAGACCAATGTAATTAACTAGATGTTAGGTCGTGGTTTATCGAGTCCATGGCACGGCCATCACATAAACCATCTCATACTGCCGGCTTGTAGGATGTGGGAAAGTTCACCCATACGGCCCAAAGTCTTGACTGGGGGAGATCAAGATCTGCGTTTACCCTAAATAGCCATAGCAACTGCAGTCATCAGCAAGTCCGATCGTCTTGCTCTGGTCACGATTCCTAAAGTGGTGGATACGATCACATGCTTCATTTCGGTGCCTCTTATATCCGACTCTGTCATGCCGTAGGTTCCTGCGGTAAGATACTGAAATACCGCATCGCCAGCTGTTACGGTCTTGAGGTGGTCTGATATTTTCCCATAGACTCCTAATTGCTACTTCTGGCACGAAGTTTGCCCCCAGTTCCTTGGCGGCGCCTGGCTTCGGGTGACTCCGGACACCGGGTTTCCCTCTTGTTAACTAGGTCTTAACCCTAACAGATTCTGTAGAAATCCTGTTGTGCGTAACAGCTACGATTATGCCACCATTCATATCTCAGCCTTGCGGAGCTGACTCTGTGTCTCTGCTCAGTAGCGGTCCTTTCATGGTTGGGTAGCCTATGCTTCTGGCGGAGTAAGCGGCTTACTTGGTTTCAGCCTTCTGGACGTTCATGTTGCAATCAGTACGTCGCCTGAAGCATATGGAAAACATTAACACTGTTTGTCCAAAAAGCGGTCCACATATTTAACTTATTCCTGTGATAGACTCCAAGATTCCGTGAATGGCTGTCGTCAGCACACCGAGCATCATGAAAATCTGTGGTTGGTTTTTGAACACTTGCCACATTACGCAACTTGTGAGGTTCATATTCATCGACCGGATATTTTGTTGTGCATAGTTAGCTAGGGACCATACACTAGGCGCTTGGGCGACTCAACCAATTCCTTAGCATCGTCGAGCTTACGATGCACACTGCCACTGCCTTCTCTGTACCTTTACATGATCTGTTCATGAAGCCCATTCGCTCTCACATTCGTAGACAGGAGCGCTGTCTTTCGTTCTTATTAGCTTGTTTTGTCGCTGTGCTTTTCTGCGCCATCTTTCGGACTCGCAGGATCGCCGGAGGTTCCGCGTCCCCATAACGTACACAGAAACTTGGGCCACTCACTAGACAGTCTGCGGACCACCCACTCTGCAGGTGATAACTCAAGTAGATGAGTGAAGTCTATAACTGGTATTGTCATCCGAATCATAACAGCCTCTTTATAAGTATGCTTTCTTCGTCACCTCTCCAAACAAGCGATGTGCAGTCCTCTGAAGGAAAACATTGAAACAGCCGCTTACCATTTGTCCGACCTGCTTGCAATGCACTTAGCCCCTAAATATTCTCTGGGGCATGATAGTTTGGAGAGCAGCCAACCGAGCCCTCCGTTAAGCACAACGGGCGATACTTTGCTCAAGCTTACATAGGTCGCGTGTATAAACTGCTTTTGTAACAGCCCAACATAGCTGCAATCAGTTAGATGGCTCAAACCTGTCCCATTTATTTTAACGTTTTAGGTCACGATGATCTGCCTACGTTCACCAGTGAACGGAATGCAATCTAGATGAATAGTTAGTTACGGCGCTGGATTTCTGTCGGTGTAGACGCATTCAACCCCACTGTTCCCAAAGTCCAGTGTATCCGATAAGGTGTAACAAGTTAGTCCGACGTATAGAGAAGCTTGCGGTGAGATATGGGTTTCTGGTCACTAAAAGTGCACCAGCTACAACCGCAACATGGAGTTCAATTAAATTAACTGGGTCAGACTCTGCGGGCTATTCCCATGCATCATACATATCATGCATATTTAGCACCACCTTGAGTAAAGTTATCACTTCCTAGAGTAAATGTGACTTGCTCAGCTGTTTACAGTTTACAGTTGTTAAACAGACTCCAGCTAACGTTCTGTGATGGACGGAAAAGACAGTAAACAAACGGAGGTGCTTGGTTTATTTGGTACTTTCGATCGTTGTACCATGTAATTCTGCCTACTGTTGCCCTACAGCATCGTTGTTACCGGAGCTCAAACCGATCAAACTTTGTCTACGTAAAATCCTTGCAATCTTCGTCAAGTCTCCAAACAACTCTATGTTTTGCTCAAGCCTCTGAACAAAAGGACCATAAATAGTACATCCCCCTTGTCTAGCTGATATGCGTGTAGGGTGATGTAAATGAGGTACCTGAAACGCAAATGTCCACTCCTATTATTCCTGAGCAGAGAAGTATTTTTCAAGCTTTTCAAAGTTCAGTGTTCTTTTGCATGTCTACACATACTTGTAGGTAGTGTTCACTTATGTTTGGTTACATGAGAGCACGAAGATGGCAGCCGACAAGCAATCTCATTGCCAGAAGAGCCAATATGGATTTCCGACCGACCTCTAGTTCATCGTCTGTTGGGATACAAACTCGCGGTCATCGTCCGTCCCCTTAACGTGCTGAGCTCAAACTGCTCCACAGTGTACTCTTTCGTCATATCAGAGCTTGTCAATCTATCGCACATTGTATTAGTGGACAAGCTTGCTACTCACCACTTTTTCGAGCCATTCCAGTGTCGTGCATTTATGACCATGGTTTCAAAAGAAACCAGTTCCATCTGTGCAACCGGCAACCAACCCTGGTAACAGTGCCAGTCATATGATTCATCTGGTGCTGTGGTCGCAAGCACCAACCGCACCACAACAGCACTTACCTCAGAGTGAGGAGCAAGCAAGCAACAGTATAGGGGTTGTGAGAAGATATGTTTGTTAGCATGGGAATTTATATTCGCTTATTAAGGTGTGTGATAAGACTCGGATTATTAGCCTCACCTGACCTAGCATGGAAGTGATTCCCTTATATATGGTGCCTGTTCAAACTGGATGGGACCACAACAACCAACCGACTCTGACTGCTTACGGCACGGTTCCGGATACTGGTGAAAGTCTCAATATAAGTAAATCAGCGTGCGGAAGATGCCATCGACGGTGATGCTAGTTGCTGGGTTGAATATAGAAGTTGTGGACCGAATGCCCATGTAGCAAGGGGGCCAAATAAACTCTTACTGAAGACGTCCTCTAGATGGTCAGTCCACTAGCGTCAGCTTGTGTAAATCTAGTTTGTACCGCCAGTTTGTAAGTGACTTACCTGTGCATTCTAGTAGCGGCACTCACCAGTTAATTGCTAGCGTCACTCTTGAGAAACCACGCATAGCGTGTGCACTTTAGGTGGCGGATGAGTTGTGGCCAGGTTAGATTTGAAACAATACTTTGGGCACAGCACTGTTATCCCGACCGTGCACTCCAACTATGCCAGTGATAATGAGCAACCTCTATACCGTTTCCCTGCCAAGTTGTCCTCTTGGACAACAGAAATAATCTGAAGGGGGATTCAACATGAGTCTACTCAATTAATTTGTTCCGTGCGTACCCCACTCACTTGTGCAGGTGTGTAAATGTGCGTGTATAGCCCGTCGCCTTCAGCCAATCGGACCTCAGACGCACTAAGTCATAGGGGTGCAGGTGGGACCCTTCAGATCCTACGCACGGAACAAATTAATTGAGTAGACTCATGTTGAATGCCCCGTCAGATTATTTCTGTTGCCCAAGAGGACAACTTGGCCGGGAAATAGTGTAGAACGCAGTAACCGAATTGACCGAATAGGGAGGATAAGTGTCATGACACCAATCGCACGGCGGTCTGCCAACCATAAGCTATTACACGGACGGAGCACGGTGTAAACGAACGTCACGTGTGTAGCATCACGAGTTCAGTCAGTCAGCTAAGTATACCCCAAAACACAGCGACTATATGCAGCTTTTGCTACATCTGCCCAAGCATCGGCATGGGCTAGGTGTTCGAACAGCTAATAGGAACTGCGCAATTACTTCCCGCATTGCCTAATGATCAACCATGAGTTTATCCCATTTGGGATGTGGCCAGGAAAATAGCTCCAGGTGAGTGAATCCGCGTTAGTATCTAAATAAACAAAGGACTGAATAAACGGTTCATTTCTCGGCAGTTAAGAGGCTACTCCGACATAGGGACAGATCAATAAGTGCGCAGTTGTGTTTCGCAAGTGATGTCATCCAACCTAGGATTGGAACGAATGCACTCTAGCATGTGGCCTTTGCATGTGTATATCACAGTTGAACTATGTGATAAGTTCGTATTAATAGCACAGATTCCTTACGTTGATTGATAGGGATAGTTGAGAATGCTTGGGATAAATGCTGGTGAGGTGTTCTTCATAGTCATGTCAAGGCATCTTTAGGTCGGCTTTCGTCCCTCGCCACTTTGGCTTCGGCTGGATTATGTCCCAATTGTCCGCAAGATAGAACTTGTGCCCTCCTGTATAAATCGAAGTAACTCGCTTTCACAAGCAATAACAACTTACGATAAACAACAATGATGCCTCTAGATGATGTCGGTATCATTTTCGAATACGGTATCCCAAAACTGAGCAATCCGTAGTATGGATAGGATGTTTTACACAGTGAGATGTCTCATGATGGACATTTTAAACTCACGTAATTTACCGCAATTTCTGATGTCCGGGATAATTCATTAAAACGTTTGGAGCATGCCGTAAACATTTTTCTCTTATTTGTGTTTTGTCTGGAACTATGACATACACATTACTTTACACAAGGGATATTTGTTATTCTGACTTGTGCTTGGGAGGTTTCTCAAATCTACAGACCAAGTTAACATTGCACACAGTCCAGTCCTACTGTTTCGCTATACGATGCCATTTTAGCGTTTTTCATACTCACACCTGCCAGCTATTCCTGCGAAATCACACACTCGCTCAGTTGGACGTCCAGTCGGAATGCCAGCAGCCGTGTTCTTTCATTGACCATAGAGATCACCATGACCGGATTCAAGCTAGCTGCATGGATTATCTTGTGTGTGCATGTGTGGATGCGCCGGCACAAGTACGTGGTCATTTCGTAACAAGTAGTGCATATACCTTTTGTGTCATAGTGGCGCTACTTCATGATAGACAACGTTCTCCTTAACTTATTTATATGTTGTTTAAATTGTTCCTGAAAGAACTGCTTCTCTAGCCCAGGATGTTCGTTCAGCCCAAGTAACACAGTAACAAGTGGGCAGTTCCGCGCACGTTTATAAGTCAGATGGGCATATGTAGGAAGCAAATTGATTAGGCAAGCCTCACTCCGGAATAGCTTCAAATGTTCCAATTCTCTCTTCATTCCGTCGACAGATACTACGCTGCTCCAAGCTTGAGTCATCCACTAACACCGTCACCTTTGCTCAGATTTCAGGCTGTGGATCAGAGGCTCAGCCAAAACTGGACGCAGAGCGCCGAAGTCTTTCAGGTGCGTGCAATCCTATCGTAGGTTGGTAGTTTCTCTGTTCACAAACTGTACACTAACCATTCAAGCCAGATTTCTGATCTCCAATCCATTTACCAGGTGCTCAGACTCTCGAAGGGCGCGGCGATGTCGCATTCGCCCTGTCTGTGCTCGTTCAAGAAGAGGACCGGGTAAGTAGAGGATAACAATAAGAGTTGATTATTAATAAGTAGAAGATTTTGATATAATTGTATTAAGAGGTCATAGTGTAGCGAGAACGACGCGGCAATGAAGCACAATCTTTATTGGCGCGATCACAAACTATACAGTCGAACCCGCTTTATTGCCCACCATCGGGATATCTCAAAAGTGGGCCATAAAGCGGGGTGGGTAATTAACCGATATTGCCATTTTTCCCAAAAGGAAACAACCATCGAAGTATGTCCGGTACATCACTTGCATTGTACCGTGCTAAGAAAGATAAAATATGTACTTTTATCTGAAGCCAACAAAAAGACTTTTAATCAGATGAGCATGACCTATAATTTAAACTTATAACATAAAGCATCTTACCTGGATAGCTATAGAAACTGGCGATACTGTGTATTTTTGCTTAGAGAACAATCTAACATCAGTTGTACATTATTTCGTGCAGATACCCCAGTCACTTTTGTTCTGATGAAGTCCAATTGGGATAAGAAATCGTTGCCTTACCCATAAAATAGTCTGTATCTCTTGAATGCGACACGACCTGATTGCTGTTACTACGGAGGCATCCAGAACGTCATCCTGTGTGGCGCTGCCTTCAATTTGTTCTAGTCGGTTCTCTAAAATTTTACCAACGATTTCATCTGCAACACTTGTCAGATCTGAGGTACATTCCATATGGTTGTCAATGGCGACGAACTCTTCTGTATGCATGACTAGGATTGTGCAAGCGATGATCTCGTCTTCAGCGATGACAGCGTCATTAGAAAGTACATCGGATTCTAGTCGACTGGAGCCAGCATGCCGAAGGTACGCTTTTATTGTCGCACTGGTAACCTGTCTCAAACTTTTTGAAAGGAACTTAATTGTATTGCGCACAGAAATTTTGGCGTTGACATCCACCGCCGATGATGAACCAGATAACACTTAGTTTTCGATGTGATAAGGAATTCGGTCCACAATTTCCTTTCTGTAACGCGTTCTCAGATTCATACTCACACTTTGGTCCATGGGTTGGAGAATGCTGGCCGTGTTTGCCCGCAAAAATTTCATTTGAATGTCTTTCAGTCCTTCTACCTGTGGATGCGCTATGTAATTATCCAGGAGCAACATAACTTTGCGGCCACATTGGCCTAGCTTCTTGTCCCATCCGAGGACCAACTCGGGGTAAAGTTCTTTCGACATCCACGCATTTTTGTTAGCTCTGTAAGTTACGGGAAGTGCAAGTACGTTCACGCCATTAAAACATTGTGGTTTCTTTCTTTTTCAAAAACCAGTTTTCTTTTATCCTTGCCTGACATATTCGCGCAGTACAGGAAAATGATTGTATCTATGACTTTTCAATCTGCTGGGCTTGCTAGCAGCAAAACACACAGAGCATTCTGGAGTTGCTCGGTAAAAAAAGATTTGTTTCGTCTGCATTGTACACGTTGTCCTCATAAAAAACATTTAAAAGTTCAGGTAGTCCACCTTTCAGCCAATTTTTACAGACTGCTTTGTCCGCAGAACTCTGTTCGCCATATGCACGTTTATACACAATTTGAGTTCCATTCTTCCATCTTCGCAACCGTCCTTCTGTGGCAGCACAGATTTTTCCAAGTCCTTCCCCGAATTCTTCTGTCTTTTTCTTCAGAAGAGAGTCTGTAACTGTTTGGCTGTGCTCACGAACCGAGATCATGCGGTGCTTCAATGCAGTTTCAACTTCTTCATCCTTTCCACATCGCTTCCTCTTCTGAGAACGTGCAGTGTCATGAAACAAATGCTGCCGGGGTATCTTCACTGGCAATCAACCTGGCTAGGGTAGGACGAGAAATGTGTACATCACGTGACATCTTGACCTGCGAGATTCCTGGTGGATATGCTTTAAGTTGTCCAAAACGTCCAACTTTTCTGTCAAGGACCATTCCTTTCTGTTACTTGGCATACTCGTGTGTAACCAATAGAGTAGTGACAAATGTGGAGCGGAAAGTTTAACCAACTTTGCTCAGTGCTAGAGTTTTGAATAGGGCAGAGCCGTCTGTACATTTAGCTTGCTGCTGTAATAATAATGACATAGGTAACCTTTTCTGATCTGTCAATAACGACGCCGACATCTTTGTTGTTCTTGACTCCATCGGACTGGCTAACTGTGGGTCAATCTTAATAAAAGTGTCAAAGAAGGGGCATAAAATTGACATAGCGACAAGAGCATAGCCCACGTAGACGAACAATTAAACGTTGGGACGACCCCGGTAATGGGCAACTCGACGGTGAAAATTTAGTCTATTTAAGAGAAAAGAATTTGTTTTGAAAATCTGGGTTATAAAGCGAGGTGGGCTATAAACCGGGTGAGCAATAAAGTAGGTTTGACTATATCACCACTCACGCAGGCCTACATTAATGAGTCACGTTTCCTTCCCACGATCCACCATCACTCCTGGTTTCCGCTCGCGACATGTCCATGCACTTTGGAGGCCTCGTGATCAAGTCTTCCATGCTCATTTCACCCCGTATCTCCGCATCTAACGGTCCCATTCTGACCGCCGCAGAGTCGTTCGATAGCTCGTGATTTGCTTGAACGTGGATATATCACTCAGCTTGGGGTTGGTCCGGGAGGCTGCAATAACGGCGGTTCTGTCTTATTTATTGCGTTCTCAACGAATACCCTCCCCGTTCTGTCTGGCTCAGGACCACGACCGGACACCGCTCGTGCCCCGTTCTCCTCTATTTCTGTCAGGCCAGTGTTGCTCCGTCTACTCCCCCTCGTTGCGCCTGTTCCCCTTTCCGTCCGCCCTCGTTTTACTGGTCTTTCTTGCCTCCGGGCAACCACTGCCTTCCGCCTCCATACAATAGCAGCAACAAGAAAGGCACGGAAATTGGTCTGGCACACGATCCTTGCTCGGGACTTGTGCATCCGGGGTTTACAAAAGTACTTCGGCTAATGCTCTCACTGTGATGGTGCTGTCGCAAACATGGCAACTGGCTGGCGCCTGCACATGCCAGTTATGAATCTAGGTCACCATCACTTGTGCCTTCAATGACTATCGTGGCCGGTCCCAGCCACAACATTCACGGCCACGCTGCGATCACGTGATGCACGACAGCTATCACAGCCGCATTGCAAGTACTCCCTAACGTTGAACATACGGCCGTACAACTCACCGGTGCGGGTAGTCACAACGTTGTTAGGCCAGTGGCGTAGCAACTACGTTTGCCGCCCAGAGCGGTGGTAAAATTTTCGACCTTACTAAGGGCAGAATAGGCTCAAGGTAAGGTGCGTTGGTTTTGATGATACGGATGGTTCTTTTGGGACACATGTAAATGTGGCAAAAGTGACTACAATGGGACAAGAACCTTCGGAAGAACTTTTCTACAGGTGTGACATATGGCGCAATGGAGTTGTTAGTCATACAGAATAACATTGAAATATGCATCCCTCATGTTAGCTGGAAATTTTGCCCCTTATATTTAGTATCGAACACTCACCGGAAGTAACAATGACGCCCCTGTCACATGTCACCCGGGGCGGATCGCTTCCCCCGCCCCCCTTTTACTACACCTGGGTATGGCGAGGTCGAGATCAAATGGACCCTCACCACTACAAGGCCGTGTAGAAAAAAGGTACTGTGATCGAAATGAGGCCAACAACTGAACCGCTTCCGTTGGAAAGTGACCAGGTTATTTCGTTAGCCCTTGTAGCAATTTCTTGTTTGTTCCCCGAGTTTGCTTAATGGTTTTTCCTTACACGTCTATCTTCAAGGACCCACGTAGAGGATAACTGGCCTGGTGGTCATTCCAGCGTATGATCTGCTACATTTGAGATGCCTCCTCGACGGGACGCTAATATGTTGTGCAACACACGCTCCCTCTACCCAGCTGTTACGAACGGTGTGGTTTCTGTGGAAAGTGGAGAATTTGGCGGGCAAGGAGCGAAGTTTACTGGGGTTAACCTTCTACGTCGCCACCACGAGTCAAGTTTAGTAAGCGCAGGCCGCGAATTTCATACCGGTCTGCGGAGGGAAATTTTATTATGGCCGCCCAGTAGTGACAAACTTTGATGACCACGAAAGCGGATGAGCAATATCTGAATTGGAACTTTGTGAGTAAAACGAAGGGAAGTTACAGCTCATACAGGCTTGGGAATAGCTCGCAAGGTCGGCTGGTCAAGGATCCTTTCCGGCTTCCTTGCAAGGAAACATATTAACTACTAACTGATCATGCATTCGTTGGTGTGTTTCGTGAATACTTTGGAATATATATTATCGTTATCATCATTATCACACGCACTTTTGGGTCACGGAGTGACTCTACTGTGTTTAACTCGCTACATGCGGTTACAAGTCAGGTCGCCGCTCAATTTTATGTAAACTTAACTTATTCCGATCATTGTGTGCGCAAGATAGAAGGCCTTCAAGAACAATCAATTGCTTCAACTACGGTGTTACCCAAGGAGTTGAACTGTGCTCCTAAGCGCTATTACGTTTACATAGACTTAAAGCCTTGGTAGCGTTATCGCAGCTGTAAGCGGTCTGAGGTGGAAATAACGCGGAATTTCGACACGACTAGGCATTTCGTCACGAAACAAAATATGCATATTATATTATTTGCAACAAAATAATCTTGGCAACTACTTATTTTAAGTACCGTTTTTGTTAAATTAATTACCCTATTTAATCTTTCATTAATCCATTTCCAGTTAGCTAAGCCACCAGTTTATTTTTGGGATCTCTCAGGCTACTTATTGTGCCTGTATTATCCGTAGTTTAGCTTTCAACCTAGATTCCGAGAGCAGCTACTGAACCTGATACCCCTTTGAGGCAATTCATTCACACCTTTAATACTGAAATATACCCTATTTGGACTGAATTCATTTATTATCTTTTTTGTAACTTAGTTCGTCGGTTTGTTAGTAATTCTGTCGAGATGGATCGACTAAGCCTGCTGGTACCTTGGCCACGTAGAAAGAACAGTGGTAAAGTGCAAAGGATGATGTCTCAGCTGCAGT